TGGAAACATGGAACACGTGCTTGAGAAAATTTGGTGTCATGGAGTGGTATGTCAAAGTTTTTAGAAAACAGTCCTTCCCGGAACAGCCCCAACAATGATCTAGTCATTTACAATCTAAATTACTGTACGTGTTTCAGTGCTGCAAAATATTTTACCCATGCCCCCCAAAACAATCAGACGTGTAATTCTGTTATTACCGTACTTAAAACAGCTTTCACTGCTTCAACCTGAGGAAATAAACCTGAGGAAATGATGGGCATGTACATATTTCACTTGAACAACAAAGGGTTTAAAGCTTTCAAACAAGACCCAATACAAAATATAGGCTTTTTGCTCCTATATCACTGAAACAGCCAGGAAACGGGCCATATGATGCGCACTACACTGGTCGTACAGTTTTCCTGTGGGCATGCCTGCCGAATGACTCAGGGCTCTCAGTCTGTCTCTGGTAGAAATACTTCAGGTACTTTGTAATTCGTTGTCTTACTGCAGACACTGTTGTGTTGTGTGATGTTACAAAACTTTCTGCAAATGTTATTCAAAAAAGACAACTTATTTTTGTAAAAACAATAAGGGCTTTGGTGACAGCAAATAAACCGGTTCTCTACCACCGTTTACACCACGTCTGAGCTTAAGTGCACATGTTCAATGTGATTGAGAGTGAAAAAGAACTTTCCTGCCACCAACTGCCTCTTAAATCTTTCGTTGAGTGGCGAATATTGTACAATTGCTATTACATACTGCCGATACAGTTGCACATTTATTGAGTCTCACCAATACGATGGTATAACTTTTAATCTTAAAAAAGTAAATGAGATTTGTTGACGCTGATTGTATTTGCCATATTTGTTGATGCTGAAGTATGGACACTGTGGCTCGTGCAGGTGTTCGTAACTGCACTGCCATGACTACGAGTATACATGTACATGTACGTACGGTTAAGAATGAACACTGTCATGACTGTACTATAGTCCAACCATGGAGGTGGGAAACAGCTGTGGCCAACCCAGTTGACAACTAAAATTATGCGTTTAAGCCTGACCTCTGCTTCACAAACAACGTCCATACGTATAGCAGAACTACATTTTATAAGCCCTAACTTGTCTTAATCTTCTTTTAACGGACACACTGCTTGCAAAGTTGCAGTGATACTTGAACTTACTTCAATTTAAAGCACTGTCAAAAGCATGAAGTAGTCTGGTTCCCTGGTCTGAAGATCTTTACTCCCATCGGAAACACATGTAGACGGAGACCGTATAGTTCTGGAAGCCTGTTTTGACTTTTGGACATGACCTCAGTCTTTGCCATCACTGGTTCCAGTCGGCATGCTCTGAGTCTCCTCGAAAGGCTGGAACCAGCTAAAAGAGCCAGAGCCATTATAGTAGCGTGGTGCGCACGCTATAAGCCATTTGTTGCGAGCATGCAAGCAAATGAATGAAAATTGCCTTGTCCATTCCAAATGTAGGGGTATTTGAATGTCCTGTCATTTTTAATGAGAAGGGGGGTTAAGGGCAGTTCCACTGCAAATAATCATAATGCACATGCATGCGTACTAAAGCACACTCACGATTCCTCTTGTGTTAAAATTTCACAGTAAAATGGACATTTGCAATAGTATTCCTGTCTCACACACCCCTCTTTACGAATAGATGAGGCAAACAGAACAGTAACCCACGGCCGCAGGCGGGATTTGGCAATATGCCATTTTTCTAAGGGACTTGACCTTTCGCGGTAAAATCGAGCGAGAACGCGCAAAATCTGAGACAAACAAAAGTCACTGTGCAAAATCTTCATGAGGTTATCCAGACATTTTTCTTTTTCTGCTGTACGTTGATGATTTGATAACGATTGTAAAATGACGTCGTGTGTTTCACGTATTGCTTGTTGAAGATAACATTTCAAATATATTAGAGGAAAAAAGACGTCATTAAGAGGTCATTTTCTCCTTTAACTTACAGTACCGGTGATTTGATAACGACTACAAAACGACATTGTAAAGACGTCATGTTTTTTTGTGGTCATGGTTGTTGAAGCAGTGTTTCTAACAGAGAAAAAAAGACGTCTTTAAAACGTTTCTTTGGCCAGACCACTTTACAACACACACCCACATAACGACCACAAAAAGACGTCTTTCATGCATCCTGTGCCCAATGGGTAGTAAAAACTTTAGGTTTTTCAGAATATGGACTTTAGCAAATGTTTCTATTGTAAAATTTGTCCCGTAGAGGCTTAGCCTTAGATTGCACAAAAGTTTAAAATTTTCCTGGGGCCCACATGCCCCTTGAGTTCGCGCTGCATGCTTGCAAATTTCAGCTTTTTTCATTTTCTGAGAATCTTATCCCTGCATACTAAAGTGACCAATCCTAGCGAGCTCTGGCCTCAGCAGCATGAACCAGCAAGACAACCAGATCCTCTAACCACCCAAGCTTGAGTGACCAATCCTACATGTAGCTCTAGTCTCAGCAACATGAACCAGGAGGTGAAGCTGAGCTTCTCGACATCCGGGCTTGAGTGACCAATCCTAGCTCTAGCCTCGGTAACAGGAACCAGCAGGACAAGCAGGGCATCTAACCATTCAGGCTTGAGAGAGCAATCCTAGCTCTAGTCTCAGCAACATGAACCAGCAGGAGAACTTGAGCCTCTCATCAACATCCAGGTTGGAGTGACCAATTCTAACTCTAGTCTCAGTAACATGAACCAGCCCGTGATCTTCAGCCTCTAACCAACCAGGCTTGAGTGACCAGTCCTAGCTCTAGTCTCAGCAACTGCACCAGCAGGTGAACTTGAGCTTCTAACCATCCAGGCTTGATTGACCAATCCTAGCGCTCGTGTGAGCAACAAGAACCAGCAGGTGATCTTCAGCCTCTAACCATCCGGGCTTAGGAGAGCAATCCTAGCTCTGGTCTCAGCAACATGCACCAGCAGGTGAACTTGAGCTTCTAACCATCTAGTCTTAATTGAGTGACCAATCCCAGCTCTGGTCTCAGCAACATGAACCAGCAGGTGAACTCGAGCCTCTAACCATCCAGTATTGAGTGATCAGTCCTAGCTCTGGTTTCAGCAACACGAACCAGCAGGTGGGCTTGAGTGTCTAATCATCCAGGTTTGAGTGATCAATCGGAGAGCGATTTCATGCCGATTGTCGCACACTGCAAGTGTGACTTTAAAAATTCCTCTGGTAAATTTGGAACTACATGCATGAGCCACACCTTCACCATGTGCCTTATTTCAGGTGTCATTTACAAAATATGAAAAATGATTGCATCAAATGAAATGGCTGCATTTGCAAAAGTTTAGGACCCTATCCAAAATGCTAAATCCTGAAGAAAAACCAACTTGAACCAATCAATCATTGCAACTTATGCTTATTTTCAGTGTGTAATCTTAGTATGTTGGTTAAATAGCTACTTGACTACATTTCCATGATTTGAAATGTCGATATATTTAGTGTACCCTCCTTTATTTCTGATTACTCAGACTGGCTTTTTTTACGCAGACGAAATGTTGAACAAGACTTGCCTTTTGAAAAAAAAATCATTTAAATGGGTACACACGTGTACATGTAGCACTACATCGATGTTATGCACCACTGCAAAAACATGCTCGGTAAATCATTCAGTGAGACAATGTAATGCAGGACCAGTGACAGAAATACAAGAAACAGTCAAATTAAAGTGGTCTTAAACTTTTGCAAATGACTGTACGTGTATCTGCATATCTCCCCAGTCGGAGAACCTGAGTTTAATTTGACTCGGCGGAAACCTTGAGTCGTAATATTGCCAGGGTGCAAGTTCATGACTGTAGGAAATTTTGTCCTGTGCAGCGAGATTATTGACCGATCTTGAATTTCTCATTACGTTCAAATTCCAGGTGGTCTTTAACTTTTGCAAATGACTGTATATGAGATTTGTCAACATTTATTGTTGTCCTGTTCCTTTCAGTTCTGCGTTTAAAGTGGTCTGCCGTCTTGGAGAATCAGTTTAATTTATGAAGATGTGTGGGGTAAGTCACGATGGGTTATTTCACAAACCCTGGGGAAATTTTTAGAAATAACGTACAAACTGTAAGTTTGATGTATTGTGACTGAGGTTTTGTATTAATTTCTTTGTGTTGTTCTCACAGGCAAAGGTATCATAAGAAACTGTTTTGAAAATCAGACAATTTTAAAAATATGATTTAGCCCTACAAGAGATGTAGAGTTTATTCAGGCCATTTCTCGGCCAGAGGGAGGTGTGATCTACCCTCCCATTTTAAACTCTGCTATCCCATAACCAATTTTTTAATAACTTGACATTTACAAAAAACAGTCATGAGCAATACAGATGTGAAATTTGGACCGATCTATTGTCTTGGAAAGAGTATAGCGCCCTCCTCAGTTTCATGTGTGTGTGGACGAGCTGCACAATATTAGACATGGCGGACGTCACAGTCGTAGTGAAGTGTCTTTATTATTGTTAAGCCATAGACCCCGTAACATGGTGTCAGAAGTGAGCTGATATAGAGAGAAGATATCAGAGACTTGATTGCGGTTAGCTTAATAGTGTTGGAGTAGCCAGCTTTCAACCGCAAACGAGAGATTTTTCGGGGGTAAGTCAGCAACACTTCCGAAATCAGTGTATTGTGCGATAGTGTTACATGTATGAGCATTGCTGTGTGCATGCATTCTCGACCCGCATATTAAATAACGACACGAACGACTGTGCATGATGGCGGCGTATCAGATTCCACCGCCGGAGGCTATGAACTGTAAAGGGGGTGATCTTGCCAACAATTGGAACTTTTTCAGAGAAAGTTTTGAGGACTATTGCAAAGCAGTACAACTTGGTAAAAAGGATGAAACAATCCATGTGGCTACTCTGAAAAGTGTGATGGGAAAAGAGTGCAAGAACATTGTGAAGCAGCTTCGGCTCACGGATGACGAGATGAAAGGCCACAAAACAATTCTACAGGCGTATTTCGCACCGATCAGGAATGTTCTGTATGAGAGATACCAGTTTCATACTGCTGATCAACAGCCGAATAATACCATAGACCAGTATGACATTCGCTTACGGCTGTTAGCAGAGAAATGCAAATTTGGTCAGCTAGAAACAGAGATGATCCGAGACCGGCTTGTTCTTGGAACTAGAGATAAAGCAGCAAGAGCAAGGCTTTTGAGAGAAAGAGAATGTGATCTGAAGAGAGCAATCGAAGCCCTCAGAATCAGTGAGCTGACACAAGAACGGCTCAAGCAGATTGATGTGCCACAAACAGAAACTGTGCATGCCTTGAAGAAACGAGAGAGCCCAAAAGCAAAGAGCACCGCTAAGTTAAAGCCTAAAGATCCCAAGAAGCCCAAGACACTGAAATCTTGCAAGTACCGTGGATCTTCACATGAATGGGACCAGAACAGATGTCCTGCCTATGGAAAAAAAGTGGAAAGTGCGGACAAATAAACCACTTCCAGTCAGTATGTAGATGGAGAGAAAATCAAGAAAGTTTGCACATAATGCAAGAAGTGCGATCAGAAAGTGATACAGATGAGTCTATCTTTGGTGTGCAACTACTTGGGGCTATCAACAGGGGCCACAAAGTGCTTATGGTCCTGCTTGCATTCATTTCAGAGCCAGGCCAGATTAGCATTCAGTGTCAGATTGACACAGGGGCAACATGCAACATGATGTCATTTGACACCCTGTGTGATGTCAAGAAGACAAAAAAGCCTCAAATGAAAAAGTCGTCTGCTAGATTAAAATTGTACGATGACAGTTTCATCAATGTCAAAGGAGAATGTGACCTGACATGTCACTATCAAGGTCGCCAGAGGAATCTTAACTTCAAGATAGTTGATTCCAGCCAGCCTCCCCTACTGTCACAACAGACGTGTACAAAGATGGGCCTCATAAGCGTACATGTTGACAGTGCACTCAATAGCATGCAGCATGACACAGTGCCCTTGACAGAGTGTGAAATTTTGCAGGGGAGTACCACATTGACATTGATCCCTCTGCGACTGGTACAGAATGCACCACGTCGTGTTCCGGTTGCCATGAAAGATAAGCTTCATGACAAGATACATGAGGTAGAGAAACAAGGCATCACAGCAAAAGTTACCGAGCCTACAGCAAGGATCAGCATCCTGGTGATTGTCTAGAAACTGGGCAAGATGCGAGTTTGCTTAGATCCACGAGAGCTAAATAAAAACCATCAAACGTCCTTAATACCCGATGCCAACACTTGACGAGATATTGCCCTCTCTCGCCAATGCAAAAGTCTTCACCGTCCTAGATGCAAAAGAAGGATTTCATCAAGTAAAACTTGATGAAGAGAGCTCCTTCCTGACAACTTTCTGGACCCCATTCGGCAGATACCGTTATCTGAGAATGACGTTTGGAATAGCATCAGTACCAGAAGAATACCAGCGACGACAGATAGGGATATTGCTGGGGCTGCCTGGCACAGCAGTCATCGCTGATGATATTCTAGTGTACGGCTGTGATGTAGCAGAACATGACAGAAATCTGAGGACGCTTCTTCACCGGGCACGTCAAGCGAACCTGAAACTCAACCGAAAGAAGATCAGACTACGACTGGATGAAGTGACATTCGTGCGCCAAGCGTTGACCTCAAGAGGAGTCCACCCAGATCCGAGGAAGGTAGAGGCAATAAAAACTTGCAGCGACCAGACTCAAGGAAAGCAGTCCAGCGACTGTTGGGATGTGTCAACAACCTATCATGATACTTGCCAAGGCTTGCCGAAGTGAGTGAGCCACTCCAAAAGTTGACAGAGCAGCGTAAGTTTTCACATGGTAGTCACAACAGGAAGAGTCCTTTCAGCAGATTAAGGACATGATTGCCAGTGCTCCAGTACTCGGGTGCTACGACCTGAACACAGAGGTCACAATACAGTGTGATGCATCAGAGAAAGGGCGTGGAACAACTCTCCTTCAGAATGGGCAACCAGTTGCATTTGCCTCCCGGTCCCTCACCTCGGCAGAGCAGAACTATGCACAGATAGAGAAAGAGTGCCTAGCCATAGTTTTCTCCTGTGAGAGGTTTGACCAGTTTATGGCAGAGAGCTGATCAAGGTGAACACCGACCACAAGCCGTTGGTGCCAATCTTCACGAAGCCAATACATAAAGCTCCCAAGAGGCTGCAACGCATGCTTCTGAGATTACAGAAATACCGGTACAACCTGAGCGTGCAGTACCTGCCGGGAAGCCAGGTGTATATAGCTGACATTTTAAAGCCAGGCTTCCACGAAGAGCACAGATGAGAGTTGCCTGTCAGAGTACCAGATGTTTCACCTGAGACAGGAGGAGTGACTCATGTCAGAGATTGAAGTCATCAACCAATCCAGCTATTTATGCATGAAGGATAGCACACAGCTGCAAACCAAGAAGGCCACACAGTCTGATTCAGTTCTTCAACTGTTGAAGACTGTAGTGCTGGAGGGATAGCCAGAGCAGAGAAATGAAGAGATTGAAGTCATCAATCAGTCCGGCTATTTATGCATGAAGGATAGCACACAGCTATAAATCAAGGCGACCACACAGTCCGATTCAGTCCTTCCGATTCAGTTCTTCAACTGTTGAAGACTGTAGTGCTGCAGGGATGGCTAGAGCAGAAAAATGAAGTATCGATGTGCATTCGTGAGTACTTTGGTGTCCGATACGAAATCACTGTTCAGGATGGGGTACTCTACAAAGGAATGAGGGTCATTGTACCCAAGTCTGTGCACAGGATGATGCTTACCAGAGTCCATTCAAGCCACTTTGGTACAGAAGCTTGCCTACAAAGAGCCAGAGAAGTGCTATACTGGCCTGGAATGACAAGCCAGATCAAAGACAGGGTAAGCCAGTGCTAGTCTTGTAATGAGTTCCTGAACAAGCAACAGAAAGAGCCGATGATGTCATATGAAATACCCAATTGGGCATGGAGTGTATTCAGCCAAGGTCTCTTTCACTACAGACATGCTGACTATCTGATCACAGCTGACCTCAACAGCGACTTCTGGGAACTAGGCAAGCTGGATAGCACCAGATCAGACACTATAGTTGAGTGCACAAAGAAGCATTTCTTACGATTTGGTATACCCAGCAAGGTCATTAATAACAACGGTCTTCAGTTCATTGCGGTGGACTATGAGGAATTCAGCAGAGATTGGGAGTTTGAGCATGTTACGTCTTCTCCCTCCCCCAGCCAGAGTAATGGCAAAGCAGAATCAGCAGTGAAAAAGAACATCATCAAGAAAGTGACCAAAGCTAAAGAAGATCTTCATCTTGCAATTCTAGATTGGCGTAACACACCTGATTCCAGTGGCAGCAGTCCAATGCAGAGATTGATGTCGAAATGGGCGAGAACACTGTTGCCAACACCTGAAGCCTTTCTGAAGCCAGACATTGTCCAAGGTGTGGCAGACAATATTCAACTTCAGAAGAAGAAGGCCAAACACCATATATGAGAGAACTGCAAAACTGCTTCTGGAATTGCAGATTGGACAACCAGTCAGAATTCAGCCACCCAGCAGGAACACGTCATGGCAAGCTGGAGAATGTGTTGCCAGTGACGGTTCCCGTTCCTATCTCATCGAGCTAGACAGTGGCCAAGTGCTGAGATGCAACAGAAAGCACTCGCCTACATCAACTCATCAGTCGGAGACAAATTCTTTAGCAACAGCTCCAGTCCAGCAAGACCCAGTCTCTGCCTCAACCCCACCAGCCAATCAACCAGCAGTCCTACCTGAGCCAGCCAGGCTTGTGAAAACAGCAACAGATCTAGTCCAACCCAAGACAAATCCACCAAGCACCGAACAAATTTCTCTGAAGTCCACACGTGCTCGTTCCAACATCAAAACACCATCTTGATTCAAGGATTTTGCAGTTTGAAACATGACAATGAACTATAAATTCTGTCACGCAGATTTCGACAAAGAGAAAAGGCACACAAAAGGACACTTAGTGATTCAATTCTCCAGAGGACAGATTTAATGTTTTGACTTGCTTTGATTTCCATACTTCACATTCTAACACACACAAATATGCATAATAATGACAAGTGGAATCAGGCATTTTTTAGTTTACATCAAAATGTCGTAGCCTTTGGTTCATTCCACGTAAAAGCATTTCATGGGACTTTATTATTTATTACAGGTGTCTGGAGACTGAAGAATTTTTTTTCTTGTGCAATGTTTTCACTTTGGCAAGACAAGTCGACGAAAAAAAGACAAAAAAAAGCTGTTTTTTGTTTATCTTTTGAACAAGATGTTATAGGTAAACATTACCAAGTTTGCTAATTGTTTAGCGTAAAAAAAAAGAGGGAGATGTCTGGGAAAGAGTAAAGCGCCCTCCTCAGTTTCACATGTGTGGATGAGCTGCACGATATAGACATGGTGAACATCACAGTCGTTGTGAAGTGACAGTCGATGTTAAGCCTGAGGAACCCATAGCACTGTGACTGTTGCTGTATTGGTATTGTGCACATCAGTGGGAAAAAGTAATCATTTTTGGCTGAGCCGTCTTGCAAACATACAACTAGGCATAGTGTGGCCTGTACATGTACATCTGATTTTCACAAAGTTGGTGTCAAAACGACTGAAAGACATCACTGGAAAACCTCCTGAAGGCTTGATGGAGGAAAAGAATTGTGCTGCCACGATAATAAAAAAAATTAAGGGGGCGGATCCTACCTCCCCCATCACGGCCGTTTTGGGGTTCAAATATATCAGCCTGTCACAGTTCAATCTTAGTAATAGGACCAATAAACCCAACCCTTGTTCTTTATTCTTATCAGTGCTGTTCATACTCAGCATGAGGTTGGACCGTCGTAGGCTTTAACTGAATTGTCTCTAAAACTCACCATGCAAAATGAACGACAGCATTTTTGTTGAAAAATAAAGCTCTTCCTTCATTTTGTAGATTGGTTTCCTCAATCTAATGGAATGGAATGGATATTTTGCCATCGCTAGCACATGTAACTAAACAATATTTTGCCGGCCACATGAACATTAACTGGTTTTTTTGGGAGGGAGGGCAAACCTTAGTCTGGTTCTGCACCATCAATTATAGAATCAAACCATTTTACACTCACCGTAAAAAATGTCTCCAGAGCCATGAATCAGAAAAAAATTGAAATACACCTGCACTCTGTCATTAAATACCAGAGTCAGTTTTCAAGTAAAAAAAAAATCTTCATTTTTTTTTTGGACAAAAAACTTAAGGCAGGTTGGGATCGAACCCAGTAGGGAGCATGTCTTGTGATTTTAGATGTGCGCATTATTGACTAAGGCACCAAACATATATTGAATCTCTGGGGAATAACCTGTACAGCCTTACTCATGCATATGCATCAACGAGGGCGCTGTCTACATGTACTCACAGTTGGCTAAATACCATTTATTGAGATATGCTGGCGACGGCTAATATCCACCGTCTAATGAAGTAGAATGTCCTCAAAAAAGCTTTTGCTTTTTTCTTTTCTATCTAGGCACAAAAACAACAATGAGGTCGGGTTGACGCCTGTCTACCGTGGTGTTTGGCTGGGCTTCCCTTCTCCAATGTAGCCAGCGCAAACAGGGTGCTACCAAGCTCAAAGATTAGATTTGTAAACAAAAGTGTAGAAATTATCTTGAGATGGTAAAGATGGTGTTAGGTTGACTGTTTTATTTGGAACAATTTTAGGCTTTGTGTTTGAACCAGGGAATATAAGTTTTTAGTTGAAGATGCATTTTTTGGCCAAAAAACTAGATTGTATGGACACCTAACACGGGTTTACATGTATTTTTGCCTCTTGAAAAAGAAAGTTAAGTGACACTTTCCAAATGGCATAGCTCAGCAAATAAAAAACCTTCATCCAAACATTCATTGAAATCTTAAATTCTTGAAAAACTAGAAAAATTAATTCATGTCTTACTGGTTTCTAAACTGCTTTCCATTTATTTTCTGAACTTTCAAAATTGTATGCATAATTTTTGTCAAAGTGTATGAATTTCTTCAAAATAATTATAAGCAGTTACTGTATTGCCCATCATACTCCTGGAAAGTTTTAGCAAGATAGAATACGATGCTATAATAGAAAAAGATGCTATGTTTTCTCCAAATTAAAAAAAAAACAACTCAGAGGGCCTTGCATTTCAATATAAGTAGAATCTTTCTTCTGACTTGGTAACATGCACATCATATTGAAATGAATATTTTGAAGAAGTTTAAATACAGAAAGGTTCGCAAATATATTTTTTATCTACATAGTACTGAAACACAGGCAAAGTCTGAATGCATGT